GTAGAAGTACCTGGAGCTGCCAGGATGCTTTCTGGGGGGGGGGGATCCCCAAGGGAGGAGGAGCAGCCCTGTAGTCCCCAGAGGAAGAGCCAGGTGACACTTTGGAGACCAACTAGATGATCTTTGATTGCTACTTTTATGAAGCAGCTGAGGGGGCTGATCAGGGTGCCACGGAAAGCCCTTGACCCCCCCCCTCCCCCAATTCCCTCCCAGGGACCATGAGCAGATTTGGGAGGATCAGTGAGGGCAGGTAGGAAGACCCCCCACATGCCATGACCAGAGGGGGGGGCTCCATGGCCGCTTTCAACAGGCTGATGCTCTGCGCTGACCCCCCCCCCCGTCCCAAGGCCCGAGGGGGCCCCGGCTGCCCCCTTCCCCGGGCTCCTCCCGCCACAAAGACCGACTGCCTTACAGTCCTCGACCTACGGCCCCACTTGAGCCCAGGAGGCCGGTTGCTCAGAGGGACAGGAGTTTGGTGCGTTTTGTCCCTTTGGGCGGCTTTTCCTGCCAGGCGTGTTGAGTGGATCCCTGGGGGGGTCACAACAGCCCCCCGGCTGGGAAGGGATTTCTCCCCTCGACTCGGCTTGTCAGGAGGCCCCAAAAGTGGGCCATGTGACCCAGGGACACGGCAGCCGTCGTAAGTACGAGTCAGTTGTGCAATGTCCGAATGTCAATCGCGGGACCAGGGAGAGGCTGCAATGGTTGTAAGTGTGGAAAATGGCCCTAAGTCACTTTTTTCTCACTGTCGTAACTTTGAACAGTCACTAAAGGAACCGTTGTTAAGTGAGGCCTCCCTGTGCGTGGTTTCTGCTCAGCCGAAGACCCCGAGAGCCAGAAAGGCTCCAAGGCCTCCCCGGGGCTTTCAGGCACCGGGAGGATTCGGTCTGGCCGAGACCCTCCTGTGGCAGAGAGGGAAGCTGCGCCTGGAGGGGGGGCCTGGGCAGGCTGGGGGGGTGGCAGCACCTCCCCCCCTTCCAGGGCAGCCTCTGCAGAGCCAAGACCCCCGGCTGGGGAGGCTCTGGCTGGGCCAGGAAACGCTCCCCCTCCAGCCAGCACAACCCCCCACGGAGGTTCTCCCCCCCCCCGCCCTTTGCCTGGCCTGGCAGGAACCTGGCCGCCCCCCTCCCCACCCAGAAGGCACCCGCCTTTCTTTTGGGGAGGGGGCAAACACAGCAGCTGGCGAAGGAGACCCCCCCCCCCGCAGCCATGGACTTCCCCCCCTTTCCCCCGCTGCCTGCAGGAGGGAACCCTGGGAAGGGCTGGTCGGAAGGGGAGCCGAGTGGAGAGCACCCCGTGTCCTGGGTTAGGGTGCTGACGAGGAGGAACTCAAGGACACCCCCCCCCCCCCGAGGGGGCGCCCCCCCCCCATGGGCAGAGAGCAGGGCCCCCTCCCTTCCAGCCCTGATGAGGTTCTCCAGTCGGGTAACGAAGCGTCTGTGGGAACACCGCCCAAAGAGCCCCAAGGGACCCCGCGATCCTCCTCCTCCTCCTAGCCAACCCCTCGGCCTTCGAGCACTGACGAGGTTCCATAGTTGGGCAATGAAACGTCCGTAAGGGAGAGAGCCCCAAGGACCCCACAGACGCCCCCCTCCTCCTCCCTCCCAGCGTGGAGGCTTTCCCCTGGTTGGGCCGGGAAAGGCCTGCAGGAAAACCGCCAGGCCCAGAGAGCCCCAAGGACACCCCCCCCCCCCCGCCCTCCTCCCCGGCTGGAGGAGCCCCGGGACCAGGAAGGCTCCCAGGGGGAGGCTGGCTCAGGCGAGGCGGGGAGGGGCTTCCTGGGCCAAGCCCCACCCCCCGCAGGAAGGGCCCAGGACTGGAGCCGGGGCTACTCACTGAGGTCCTCGGCCAGCTGCACTCGCTTCCCCGTCAGGAGCGTCACCTTCTTCCCACCGTCCTCCGCAAAGTCCTCCAGCACTTCCTTGACGTTCTTCTCCAGGCGCCTGACTGCGGGGGGGGGGCGGGGTTAGCAAAGCGGCTCCTGCGGGGGGGAGGGGGGGCACGGTCCGGTATCCCCCCCCACCCTGAAAGGCAGCCGGGGTTTGTCCTCCAGGCCCCAAAGGTGCTTTTCTTTCTTTCCCCTCCTGCAGGAGGCGACTGGACTTCCTTGGGTTCCCTTGAAGATGTTTCGCTTCTCATCCAGGAAGCTTCCTGAGCTCTGACATCCGGATGAGAAGCGAAACCTCTCCAAGGGACAAAGAGCCACCTTGGGGACAAGAAGACCCGTCCGCAGGACGTCAAAGGGGCTCAGCAGAGAGGGACCCAGGGGGCCAGAGGGCACCTCCGGAGGGACCCAGGGGTTGGAGTCCTACAGCACTCGGGGACTCCAACCTTGGCCACTTGGGGACTTCAACGCCCAGAGTTCCCCAGGCAGCTGGCTGAGGAATTCTGGGTGTTGAAGTCCCAAGGTTGGAGCCCCCGGATGCAGAGAAGGTGCCCTTCGGCCTTCGGGGCTCAGCACCTGGCAGGAATGGAGCCGCCGAGGCCAAGCAGCCGGTGGGGAGGGGAGGCTTCCCAGCTCCTGGAGGGGCCTCCGAGATCGAGCAAGGCTGAAGCAGCGGGCCGCTGGGCCTCCCACATCCCTCCCTCCCTGTCCCCCCCCC